ATTAAATCGGCCTTCCACTCTGTCATCTATTCCATACCTTTTGAATGATTATAGCTAGCATTTATACAGTGCTTTAATGTTTGCAAAGCACCTTACATATGTTATCTCATTTAATCATCACAAAAACCTGTGAGGCAGGTGTTATTATCCATATTTTACAGGTGAGAAAACTGAAGCTTAGGAAGGGCGATGTGCTGAGGGTCACACAGTATCTGAGACAGAATTTTTTTTCTTTCATTTTTAAATTGTAGTTTTTCAATTAATGAAAATACACCTTCTCTCCCAACAACACCCCGTTTGAAAAAGAAAAGAAAATCACTGTAACAAATATGCATAGTCAAGCAAAACTAATTCACACATTGGCCACGTCCCAAAGAAAACGTCTCAATCTGTACCTGCAGACTCCATCTCTCTCAAGAGATGAGCAGCCTGTGCTTCATCATGAGTCCTCTGGAACTGTGTTTGGTCTTTGTGTTGATCAGAGTTCTTAATTCTTTTAAGTCTTTCCAAAGTTGTTTGTCTTTACAATGTTGTATAAATTGTTCATCTGGTTATTTACTTTACTCTGCATCAGTTCGAAAAAGTCTTTACAGGTTTCTGTGAAACCATCCCCTTTATAATTTTCTTACAGCACAATTGTATTCCATTGCCTTCATGTACTATATTTTATTCAGCAATCCCCATTTGATGGGTACCACTTTTAATATCCAGGACTTATGGGTCTTTTTCCTCTTTCTTTGATCTCTTTGAGATATAGACCAGTGGTATCACTGGGTCAAAGGTATGCATGGTTTATTAACTTTTGGGGCATAGTTCCAAATTCTTTTCCAGAACAGCTGGCCCAGTTCACAGCTTCAACAATGCATTAGTGTACCTGTTTTGCCACACCCCTCTAGCATTTGTCATTTCCCCTTTTAGCCAGTGTTGCCAATCTGATAGGTGTAAGGTGATACCTCAGAGTTGTTTTTAATTTGCAGGGTTTGGAGTATTTTTTCACATGGTTATTGATAGCTTGGATTTCTTCCTCCAAAGACTGCCTATTTGTATCCTTTGACCAATTATCATTTGGGTATTGGCTCAGGAGCTGTGCTAAATACTTTATAGTTATCTTATTTTATCCTCATAACAACACCATGAGGTAGGTACTTTTATCATTTCCATTTTGCGATGAGGAAACTGAAACAAACAGGAATTGAGTGATTTGTTCAGGGCCACACAGCTAATAAGGGTCTGAGGCTGCCTTTGAACTCAGGTCTTTCTGACTGTAGGCTCAGAGTTTTTATCCACTGCATAAAAATCAGTTTCTCATACACCTTAGAAATGAGAAATTTGCTGCAAAGGTTTTTCCCTGTTATCGGCTTCTAATTTTATCTGCATTGGTTTTGTTTATGCAAAAACTTGTATGTATCTAAATTGTCCGTTTTACCTTCAATGATGCACTCTATCCCTTGATTTGTCATGAATTCTTCCCCTGTGCTCCTTTGAGGCAGAATTTCAATATGTCTTCTTTACTCAAGTTTTAGCACCCTAACCTGCATGCCCATTTCTGTTACGGGTCTCAACCCACCAAGTCTCAGTGATAACTGCTGTCAAATTTGTGCCTGTGTGTTAGGCTATTTGGTTCACATTGTTACCAATACTTCCTATATCTATATATAAACATTTAAAGCTACATAGTTTATTTCTGGATCTTTTTTTTGTATTGTGTGTAACATTAACTACTGGTTATCTCTATTACAATTTTCCTGTGTTATAATGGCTACTTCTTTACCAGCTGTCCATTAACAAAATCTGCTTCTCTCTTCTGAGGCATCAGAGAGATAGCCATGATGAAAGTATTACTATACCCATCAGTTTTTCAGTTTCATAACCCTTCAGACTTCATAACCCATAGCAGATCTTTCTAGATTCTTAAAATAGTATCATTTGTCCCAACATTAATCACCTGAAGTGGGTAGGTCAAATAGATAATTCTCTGCTAAGTTCTGCATATGTGACCCAGGAAAACAGCATATTCTTTGAAGTCTCATAAGGCCAATAAACAACTGCCCAAGTACCCCTCAGCAGGGAGTTATCAGCTACTACTTTTCCATTTTTTTCCTCTTATTGGATAATAGACAGCTATGGTTCCATGTTGTCATTTCCTGCAAAGTAAGCAACTGCTTTCTCAGAGAGAAGAAGCTATGAGAAAGGGTTCATATTTACTACTCAGATAAGCTGATTGTAGGATTGAATTAAATTAGTTTTAAGTGTTGAGTGGCCCTTCTTGTGCCATATTCCTCCCCCCCCAACCTCCTAAACAAAGGTCAGGAATATGCTTGGTGTCTTTAGATCTTTTTTTTTCTTTAGATCTTTTCCCTTTGTTTCTAACCTATCTTGTTTTATTTTGTAAGGAACACTTCATTTTTCCAGAAAACTGGCAGAGCCAAGAGGTATTCCCTTGAGCAGGAGCAATGGACTGTTCCAGAGGGACAGATTTTGATGTAAAGAAAAACTTCCTAAAGATTAGAGCTGTACAAAAGTAATCAAATCAACACTACCAAAACACTCCACCCTGTTCATCACTCCCCCTGTAACTGTTGTCTTGCTTTTTTGGAAAGGTAACTTCTTGAGAGCAGGGACTGTCTTGCATGCTAGTATTTGTATGATGTGAAAATTAATTATTGAGCCTGTATTTTATGTTTTATTGCACTCTGTAATTGATTCTAATCTGTAACCATAGTCTGTATTCTATGTAAGACACCTAAGCCTTTTCTTTGTCTCTGAGTGAAGAAGCTCATGAGTTAAAAAAAATTCAGTCTTCCTCTCTCAAGTTAGATGCAAAGGTTTAAGCTTTGCCACAATCACTGCTGATTAAAGAAAAAAGCTGAACTAAAGTTTAGGAGTTCAGTACTCTCATAAAGCACTTTAAAGGAACTGTTATTCTAACACCACCTACAGATCATTTTGTGCCTCATAATTCCAGGGCATCTGTGTGTTATCCTTGACAGCAAGCAAGTCGACATGGTCCATGTTAGCCTCATCCTTGCCAATTAAAGACGGTCTTACCTCATTCTCAGGCACCCATGAGTCTGCTATGCCTAGTCCACTATCAACACATCACTATCAGCTAAGTACCTCCTGAATACTCAGTCAGATATAACCTGGTGTTTAGAATCGTACGTAAGAGCCTCATTATCGTTCATGGAATAGCAGAAGGGAAATCATTATATTGCAAAGACAAACCTTAAAATAACCCTGGAGAACTAAACCAATCGACTGTACTGGAAAAGAACCACTCTAACAATCAGTCAGTCAACTAGCATTTATTAATCACTATGTAACAGGCTCTGTAGCAAGCACTGAGGATACAAATAAAGGTACAAACAACAAACACCACCGCCAATCAATCCTTTGTCTCAAGGAGCTCAGTCTAATCAGGGAAAATCAAGTTATAGATAGGATAAACTGGGAGTCAACTCAGAGTGACAGTGCTAAGATCAGGGAGGACTGGAAAAGGCTTACTACAGAAGATGGAATTCTAGCTAAGAGCTGCATCATTATCAGGATGCAACTGGTCCCACAAATCCATAAAAAGCATTTCTGTAAGACAGAGAAGATGTGGTCCTGGGGGGGGGGTGTCTGTGTGTGTCACTGTGAAAACCCCTTGCCTTAATATAACCGATTGTGATTCCTCATCCCCATGATGTTGCCAGCCCCATGACCAATGGCATGATTTCCTCACCTATTCTGTTCTATTCTTCTATGCTTAGCAAAAGGAGTTACATCTTCAGTTCTTGGTCTTCGGCTAGAAACTGAAGCAAGCCATTAATCTCTTTATAAATAGGTTCAGTGCTTTATTAGTAAACTGTTATATTGCTTAGAGAGAATAGGCCTCAGTCTACCTTTTTGTTGAATTTCACTTGAGACAATCCCCAGTGCTTAGCACAATGCCTGGCAGTAGAAAGCTCTGACAAAGTGAAATAGGCAGCCTCAGATGATAGTTAGCGAATTCTTGATTGGTGGAGTTTTTCAAGCAGAAGTTAATGTTATTATTAGACAGAAGCAGTTAATTGCATCTACTGCTTTTCAAAGTACTTTTCACTTGATACTTCACCCAAGAGGAGTGGAATATCAGCAGTATCACTGGGAAACAACAAACATAGTAGAAGATTAAATGAACTAGAAACGAGTGGATCTGAGCTGTAGTTCCCACGCTACTGTATCTGGATTTGTGAGATTTAATTTTTCTGATGTTAAATTTTCCCCACTAGAAAATGAAGGGCTGGATGAAATGATAGTAGTATAAATAAAAAGAAAACTAGTATAAATGCTTCCAGATATCTGACTTAGAATATTGTATTGATTTTGAAATAATTCCTCTACAACAAAAGTCTGGAAAGGAAATAATTCATTAAGATTCCATTTGGACTTGTCCCTTCCTGTATTTAGATTCTGTGATATCCAATTCAAGAAGTTCATCTCTAATAACTGGAGAATTATTTGAAAAGCTATGTTAGAAAAAATAGACATTTACATAGTTTAAACAATAAGCTAATGTTGTCTTGATATTTTTGTTAACAGCAGTTTTTGACAAAAAATATAAACTATTTTATATTTTAATTATTTCAGCTATACATGTAGATGGGGGGGCAGGGAAGTTTAGCTGGAGAAATATGAAAAATGTAGCATGCCTGAAAAGAACTAAAAATTTTATTAGCTCACAAAAATTATTTCTTAGCCAGCTATCTATTCCCCATCCACTTGAAGTTTGAAAAAGAGTGAAATAAATGTAATAAGCACACTTGAATACTCACTCAGCATGTATTTATAGCTGCAGGCAAGGAAAAATTACAAGGTTAATATATATGTTATATACAATAATACATATGGTTAATGTTTAATTATTATTACAGGTGATCCAATACTGCATCTTTTTAAAACTAATATAAATGCTTCTAACAGACTACACAAACACATTTTTCCTTTTCTATATGTCTAATATAGTCACTAAGACTCACCCATGAAAGCTCCAAGGATATTTATCCAAATTCCCACTACCATCGAAAAGTCAAATCCTCAGAGTTTGGCTGTGTCTTTCCCTGAAGCGTTCTAGGGGTAACCTTGAAGCCCCAACAAGATGTGTCTCCCACGAAGATTATCAGCAGAGAATCATTTCGTTAGCCAGGTCAAACAGTTGTTGGTTTTTTTTGTTTTGTTTTGGGAAAGGGACATTTTCCAAAATGGTACAGTAGCACAGATGGTTATAACCGTGGTACAGAGTCTGGGGAAGAGTGGCCTCAAACTTAGCACATGCGTCAAAGGAATAACTCACACAGCTCCCTGTAGCTTGAAGTCCTTTTCTCTTCTCTGTAGAGAGCTCAGGAAGTTCCCCTTAAGCATAGAAGACCTATCTTCCATTTGGCCATGGCTCCTGATGCATGATACAGCTGATGAGAAGATGTAGTTTTGGACCATGATGGGAAATCCAATGTTCTCCAAATCCTTCTAAACTGGAATGCCCCCACCTGTGAGGAGGGATTTGGGGGAATGGGAGTCTCCCTCCTTCTAGGCAATTCCTCAGAATGCCATAGGCTCCAATTCTGGAATTCAATCGCCTTTCCACTTGCTTGATAATTTATAGATGATCTCTGGGCATGCCTAAGTTTCCTCTAATTAGAACTGACTTCCTGTCTGGCATCATTTCACTTCATCCAGAGGTTTTCAAAACCTCTTCACTCTTAGTCTGTGGTCTTTTAATTGATTGATTAAGACCTATCTTCATCTAGTTAAGATACCAGAGCTAAAATAGGGTGAAATGGTTTAGATTTCATTTATATAAATAATGTTTACTGATTTAAGATCATACAGTCCATTGGTCCCCAAAGTTAACCAGCAAAGATTTAGGGCAGAGGTGGGGATCCTGTGGCTTCAAGGCCACACGTGGCTGTCTAGGTCCTCAAGTGTAGGCCTTTTGACTGAATCCAACCTTCAAAGAACAAATCCCCATAATAAAAAGGATTTGTTCAGTAAAACTTGGACTCAGTCAAAAGGCCAAAACCAAGGACCTAGAAGACCACAGACCACAGGTTCCCCACCCCAGATTTAGGGTATAGTATATATTCCCTACAGAAGTTTTACTCTACAAAGGTCATTATCTAGTTCTGTGTATTTCAAAGTGAAGTTATATCAATAAATATTTATTAATTACCTATGGGCCAAGACTGCTATGCTTTGAGGATACAACCCTCACCCCCCCAAAAATAAAATAAAACAAAACCCTCTGTCCCCTAGGAGGTTACAGTCAAATGCAAACAACTATATACAAACAAGAGAATATATAGGATAAATTGGAAATTATCTCACAGGGAAGGAACTAGCATCAAGGAGGATCGGAAAAAAGGCTTCTTGCAGAAGGTGGGGTTTTAGCTGAGACTGGAAGGAAGCTAAGACGCAGATATGAAAAAGAAGGGCATTCCTTGAAAGGGGGGCGACGTAGTAAAAAGGCAGTCAGGCTGAAATGTCTTGTTTGAGAAACAGGAAGGAGGTCAGTGTCACTAGAACATAGGTAGAGGCCCAGCAGAGTGTAAGACAGGAAAGGTAGGAGGGGGCCCGACTGCAAAAAGCTTTTAATGCCAAACAGTGGATTTTACATTTGATCCTGCCACTGGAGTTTACTGAAAGGGAGGGGAGGGGGAGAAGTGGGGGATGACGGTCAGTCAGACCTGCCATTTTGAAAAATTAATTTGACTGGGGGGGGGGAATCGGATTTAAAAAAATACTTAACTCAAATGCTAAGTAAAACTTGCTTGATTTTGACTTTGCTAATTAATTAGCAGTTTGTAATATTATGCTCGGGGACTGTCCTAATGTTTCCCTTTGCACTTTTATCTGAAGAAAGTATTTGCTCAGAGTACAAAGGATTTCAAGGAAGACATTTTAAACTACTTTCAGAGAACAAACTATCTTCAAGTATGTACTATCCATTTCTTGAATATGTTGTGCTAATTACAAATCATTTTGGTGATTTCCTTAAAGCAGATACACCTAAGGAATTCGACTTTGCAACATTTTTTATCAATTTGATACTTTAAACCTCATTTTTCTTTAAAGGTCACTTTTTAAAAAAGTGATTTGGCCTTAACTAGTTGATTTTCATGTTCCAGAGGAGGCAGGAACTCAGGGTGGTGTAGCCCTTCTGTAAGCATGAATTCATTTCTAGAAGGCTTTAGGACTCACCAACTGCCCTCCTTCCCATCCCACCCTAATTCCCCCCAAAAGTGGGGTAAAAAAACGGCCCAAGATTTCCACGTCGAGACCAGGACTCTCCTCACGGAAGAGATGACAGCGGCCTAGAAGTGGCTGGGGGCTGTGCCGGATACTGCTGGAGGGGCCTAGGATCCCGAGTCGTCGGGTACTTACTCCCTGCCAGGCCTGCTTTTCCTCCCCTGGGCTGGATGACCGACCCTAAGGTTCTCTTCCGCTCGGGAAAGAGTCCTGGGTTCCAGGACGGAAATGGGCATTCCCCCGTAACTCAAGAGACTCCAAGCCCAGAGAACGGCCACACCGAGTTATTACCCTCCAGCCGACTGACCCGCCGACTCCTCAGCGATTACTGGTGCGGGATCCCAACAGTTCAGAAGGCAGCGCGGGAGGGGGTAACCTCACAGGCCAACCTTTTCCCCGCCCTCTGAGGCCTCCGATTGGTCCCGGGGTGGACTTGGGACGCCGGGACGTGTTCGCGTCACTTCCGCCAGGGTCCGCCATCTTGTTCCCAGGGGCAGTTGGCGGAAGAGATCGTGCTCCCCAGTCGCCTGCTTGTCTTGTTCCGGGAGTTGCTCTGGCCCGCGTCCCAGTTCCCAGCTTCTGCGTGGGGTTCCCTCCTCCAGTCCTCCCTCATCCCGCCTTGCCTGGGGCGGAACAGCGAGGGGGCCCCCCGCTCCTGCCGTCAGCGTTCCATGGAGTAGGATCCAGGACCGTTGTGCCGAGCGAGAGCGAGAGGCCGAGCTTCGCCGCGCCCCCACCCCCTACTCCCCCTCCCTTCCTGCTGCTCCTTCCTGCCCTCCCCCCCGCCTTCCGCCGCAACATGGCGAACAACAGCCCGGCGCTGACAGGCAGCAACTCGCAGCCGCCGCCGCAGCACCAGGCGGCCGCCGCCGCGGCCCAGCAGCAGCAGCAGCAGTGCGGCGGCGGCGGCGCCATTAAGCCCGCCGCCTCGGGCAAGCAGGGGAACGTGCTGCCGCTGTGGGGCAACGAGAAGACCATGAACCTGAACCCTATGATCCTGACCAACATCCTGTCGTCGCCGTACTTCAAGGTGCAGCTCTACGAGCTCAAGACCTACCACGAGGTGGTGGACGAGATCTACTTCAAGGTACGGGGCTCCCAGGCCCGGCCGGGGCCGGGGGCGGGGGCCGCGCGGGGCCGAGGCCCGGAGGTCCGGCCGGGCAGGGGGAGGAGAGCGTGGGGCCGGGGCTGCTGCTCCCCGTCCCCTCCCCTCCCGCCCCGCCGGCCGGCGGCTCTAGTGGCTGCGGCCGCCGCCGGGGCGGGGTCGGGCAGAGGCCGCCCGCCCGCCCTGCCTCCCCTGGATTCAGGCTTTGGGGCCTGGACGAGCTTCCTCCGCCTTCCATCTCCCCCCACCCCCAGCCTGCCCCCCCGGACCCGGTATCCGGGTAACGCTGATCCCCGCCGGAGGAGGAGGAGGAGGAGCGGGGGGCAGTAATTCGATCCTCCACTTAACCAACCGCTCTCAGTTATTCCTTTTGACGCGGAGCCTCGCCGCGCCGACACGACTGGTCTTGGCCACCCCGGGCCCGTGGGCGTACCGACCCCCGTTTGGGCCCCCACCTCGGGTTCTCCCGGAGTCCTGTAGCTAACTTGGACGTGGGGGCTAGTCAGGATCGAGGGGTGGGGGGGAAAGGGCAGGGCAGGAGGCCTACAGACGTACCCTGGAGGAGCCGAAAGCGCAGGGGGCACGTGAGCCACCCCCTGCGTGTAGTTGAGGTAGTAAAGGATCGGCTGGGCCCTGGGCTTCAGCGGCAGGGTCGGTGCTGGCTTGGCTGTGCTGGGGCGATAACCTGGCGCCTCCTCACTGCACTCTTGTCTCAGTTCTTGTTTCGTTAGCAGGATTGACTCAGTCTTGCAGCGAGGCTCGGAGCAGCCCAGGGTCGCAGGTAGAGGTATGCACTATTAATCATCCTCAATCGCCTTAAATGCATTTCCCCGGCTAAATGAACAAATAATTAGATTGGTTTGCTTGACCACTGGTTTGGGTCCCTCTTGCCCTCACGAGGTAGGCCTGCTACCCATAGCTGTGCCTCTTTTTAAGGCTAGGTGTATACCATTTGTTATCTAGGAAATAACTTCCAGGCTTCTTGATGCTAGAGCATATTTAAGAAAACAAGCTTATTGCTAGGCGTAGCAGTCGTTTTAAATATTTTTAAAAGACTATTTGATGGTTATTTTGGTGTAATTAAGTGACTTGTAAAATCGTTTTAGACATTAATAGAAATGTGTGTTTAGCAGAACGTTTCTATTTGTCTTAGGGAAGGTGATTTTAGCAAAAAGGTTTCAACCTTATATTTTCTTAGTTTTTCCACTTGACAGGTGTTGCAAAGGCAAGATTTTAGTTATTTGACATTTTCAAAGATTCACGAATTGAGGGATACATGTGCAGCTTTAGGGAGATAAGGAGTATGTTTTGCAGAGTATGATTTGTAGAGGTGTTCTTTTTCTGAGAATAATTTATATTACTAGTTTGTTATGGATTCAGTTATAGTTTTATAAGCCAGAACTTTAAAAAAAAATTTGCAAGGTAAGCAGTTTTTTTTTAAAGTATGGGATGTTACTGGAATAGTATGGGAAATACACGTGTGCTTTTATCTTCATTTATGACACCAGTGCAATTTTTTAAAATTGAAAATTAGGTTATATAGTGGTCCCTTGTGTCCTCTGTTTTGGTAAAGAATCTGTTCAGATGTATGTGCTAATAATAGTGATAGACATGATTTATATAAAGCTTGTGAAGGATGTGTGGGTTTGTGTGTTTTATATATTGTAAATCCCAAAAATTTACTCTGACACTGCTTTGAAAGCTCATTTGTAAAATTAAAAGTGTGCAATTATCAAATAAGTCCTAATCAAATGATACCAGGAAGAAAAATTTGAAGGTGTAATAGAATTTATGCTGGATACTCACACCACACTGGTTGGTATTTAACTGAATCTCAACATTCTTTGGGCAGAATAAAATAGTTACACATTGGAAAAGGGAAATGAAAAGTAAGCAGCATGTTGTAATAGAAAGATCACTGGATTTAGCATAAAGAAAGCTGAATATTGGTGATCCTTGGCCAACAACTAGCTTTGTGACCTTGAGTGAGTCACCTAACCTTTCTTGATCTGTTTTCTTCTCTGTAAAACAAGGAGAGCATCAGTCCCCCTCGTCTCGCCCCTGGGCCACACACCCCAGTTCAGACATTCTATAAAGGTAGTTTCTAGTGCCATATGACAACAGATACTGATCATAGATTTATATTGATCAGTGAGGAAATGTTTGCAGATAAATGTTCTTCAGAATCACTGAAAAATTATTTTAAGGTAATTAATGGTGGGTAAAAACATAGTACTTAGGGTCGACATCAATATATTAAAAGGACAGGGCCATTTACTTTTGAAGCACAATGTGAGAAACAAAAGTAGTTTTTGCTCTACCTAAGAAACTTCTTGGGTTGTGCTTTATTAGTGCTAACATTCTATTTTTTCATTATTGGCAGAGAAAATATGTTTAAAGTATCTGCGATAGTAAAAGTTTTATAACATGGTTAAGAGTAATACAAAGCATGATCAAAAATTAGTCCCATTACTTTATAATGTAGAATGTTTTATTACTTTAGTGGAACCTAGTACAAAAGTAGAATTAAATCATCATACAACCTAATTAGTGAAGCTTCTTTTAGAAAGCAATGTTAATGGGAACAGTGATGGATTTGGATTCAAAGGATCTCTTGGTTCAAATCCTAACTCTTTTACTACCTGTATATTTGACTAGGTGACTTATAAGGGAGGAAGATCCCTTACCAGTCCTACATTCACGATCCTGTCTTAATTAAAAACCTAGCCTTCGCTTCATATAAAGCCCAAAGTATATGTGTTTTTTTCCTAAAATTTTTTTTATACTTGTATAAAAATTAATACTGTTTCTCAGTAGTTAAAAATGCCATATCTTTGTGCTTTGTATTAAAGCAGAGCCTCCTCTGATAAACATAAATAACAATACAACTCAAGATTACATCCCTAAACTGAGATATTTTTGAAAGGAAAAATATTATAGGTAAACACTGAAAACTAACATTGATTATAGACTATACTCAACTGTTGTACAAGGTAAATTGTGAGGGAAAAGTATCTTTGGCTTTTATCTGGAATATAAATTTTCACACATTTTGTAAATCTATAGTATGATTGGTAACAGTTTGACAGTTTATACAGGGGTGGTTTTTTGGTTTTGTTTTGTTTTTGCATGTGTACTTTTGCTCCAGAAACATATTGAATTATAACAAGGGTTAATTTAATTTCAGTGTCATTGTTTAGGGTTTACTTTGCTCATTGTGACCCTAAAAAAGAACTTATTAGAGTTAGTCTGTGAAGATGGTTGTGTGATCACATAAATGGTGATTGCAACATTCAAATAGGTTTTCTAATTTAATATATAGTTTTGAGTACAGAAATCTACCAACCACAAAATTTTGGTTATATCATTCAGTCTTCTAGGCTACAGAGCTTATGTTCTGTAGGCATAAGTACAGAGCATTTTGTGCTTTACTGCTGCCCTACAATAAATGTCCTGGCCCCATGTATATTGTGGGCATGTGAATATTAGCAAAGCTACTTTAATGATTTATTTTAAACTAATTTTTTATGTGGGTTCTTTTTAAGATAGTTATTTTGGTATTCTTTTAAAAATCGAACTTCTTTCAGAGATACTGTACTGTATTCTTAGCTGTAAGAAGAAACAATTTTGTCTAATCTTAAATACAGTTTCCAAAGACATTTGGAAGAGCTGCTATGTTAATAGTTTTGGTTTTCTTTTATCAGTCATTTAAGCTTAAAGAATGAATGTTGTGATAGTTACCTTCTTGATATTTCCAGGTCACACATGTTGAGCCGTGGGAAAAAGGAAGCAGAAAAACAGCAGGCCAGACAGGGATGTGCGGAGGGGTAAGTAGAAGTACGTGCATTCTTAAGTTTTTCTGTGTCTGGTGACAGATTTTAAATTTACATATTAGAAGTCAAATATAGGCCTTTATGTTAGTTAGACAGTTGACACACAGGTAGCAATTCTTAGAAGAGAAAAATCTGAATTCAGATGATTAGTAGGGTTAGAAAATAAAGCAGTATGATTTTTTTTTCTCCCTCTTAGTTTTTTTCTGTTAAGACTGATGCCTGCCATTATTGCCTAGAACAGGGAATCTTAACCTCTTTTGTCTCATAGACCCTTTGGCAGTCTGGTATGGACCCTTCTCAGAGTAAGAGAATGTATTTGTTGTCCATGTTTATAAATGAAAGAAATTCCAAATTTAGAAAGTAATGAAAACAAATATGTAATCCCCTCCCTCCCCAAGTTTGCAGAACCCTTAAAATCTAGCTAAGACCCCAGGTTAAGAACCCTGATCTAGACAGCAACCTTTTGGTGTTAACTATTGATGCTCATTCTCTTATCTCCTTCCAAGGTTCGAGGTGTTGGAACAGGAGGAATTGTTTCTACAGCTTTTTGCCTGTTATACAAGTTATTTACTTTGAAACTGACTCGCAAGCAAGTGATGGGTCTCATAACACATACAGATTCTCCATATATTAGGGCCCTTGGATTTATGTATATAAGGTGAGCACTCATACATTATATTTGCCAGTCAGTTCATCATTGTTAAATAACATACATTCATAGTCTTTTGCAATTCCAGGTACACACAGCCCCCAACAGATCTCTGGGACTGGTTTGAATCCTTCCTTGATGATGAAGAGGTATGTCAGCAAGGGTAATAATTTGTTTTCTTCAGATTTCTATGTTTGTTTTCTTTTTAATTCTTTGAGTTTTGTATTATATGATTCCTTCCATTTAAACTTATTATAATTAACTATTTTAAAATTGTATCCCTTTTCTTAAAACATGGTACAATTTGTTTTTAAATCTTAGTTTAAATTCTTAAAAGTAGTTTTGCTATTTTAAATTTATTTCATACAACAAATTGCCATCTCAAAGCACACGAGAATAATTCATTAAAATGTCTGAACTTAAAAATTTTAAGTTTTGTTGTCTCTTGTTAAACTTTATTTTTCATTTTGACATTTTAATGGCCCTTATGCTTTAGGAAAGTGTAAATTTATGACTCAGAAGTAATTTGTTGTTTTTAAGATAGTCCATGGTAGTAGAAAGACATAGTCTTTTGAGATTCTAATTGCTGCTTGTAATAAAATTTCTTAAGTGTCACTGAGCCCCCGAGCTTCTTTCTTCCAACAATGGTATGATTATGATTATAAAATCAGAGTTCAAAAAAATTAATGATTCTGCTTAGGACAAATCTTCATAATTTTTTTAATCCTAAATTTAGCATTCTATTCTAGATTGGGTTAAAGGTACCTTGAAATTACTTATTTACCCTGGGAACCCTGACTGCCTTTGTTTTTAATAACATGTATGTGATTTTTTTTTTTTTTACCTAGCAAATGGTGAGCTCTGGAAGACTTGAATGTTCAGTAAATAATTATTGAAGGAAGAGCTCTGCTCCCTATGGTTCTACTAACATTCTTGCAAAGCAACTTCCTGCTGTATCCATGTGCTTCATTTTTTTTTTACATCTTCTATAATGTTCATGAACAAATTAACTTGAATTAGAGAAGTCTTTTCACAATTTACTTTTCCTGAATTCAAAAGAAAACAATATGTTCTCACTAAAATCTTCATATTTCCATCTGTTATTTTATGAATTATTCTAAATTCATATACCTTATTGTACACCTAGGCAGCTGTTAGTCTTGCCCAAATTACTGCTTTAGTGAGAACTTTTCTATTTGTTTTTGCTTTTCATCATGTGTATAATGCTCATCAACAGATTTCAGTGTCATTTTTTGTTTGTGTATTTGTTGTAAGCTGCCAGAAGAGGGAGGAACATGTTAGTTTTGGGATATAATCACAACCTCTATAAGGCATAGTTTCCCTTTTGATAAATATTTCAGTTGCAGAGTCTTTCCCCTTTTTCTCTTAAAAGGCATGGCCTTGTAACCTTGATGATCTATTACTTTTCTACCTGTTTGTTTCTAAATGCTTCTCTTAAATCTGTTTTTATTGTATACATATGTCTGAGGTGCTCTGTTTAAGCTAACTTATTGTTTTCTTCTTTAGATATCTGCAGCGATTATATTTGGAAATACTGTATATCTGAACACTTAAATGTGTGTGAGTGCAAGCAGTTTTACCTTTAGCTCTTGTTTTCCTGTTTAGATAACAAATCTCACTTTCCTTGTGTGCTTGCACTATAGGTTTGGGACTGACAATAGCTGACTAACATGTCCTGAGCTGTGAGAGGGCATAGCAAGAAGGCCTTCATGCGGTAATGACCCTTTTCAGAGACAATGGTCATCATGGATTATGCGTTTCCAATTATTTGTTCATTTATTTATTTTTTGCATAACTCTAAATTAGAAACCTCACTGCTTCATGGCAGTTGGTTTGCTATTGCTTCCAGTTTTGTTAGGATTTCATCTTATATTGGAACTTTTTATGATCCATTTAGACAGGAATTACCTGAAGCAGTCCATGTGTAGCTAGGACACAATGCTAGGTTTAATTATGTGCAATCATATGTCCACAGGATTACTTAGAGGAATATCTACTTGAATTATGTGGGCTTTAAATTTAAGGCAAGATTGTTCCACATAGATGAGTAATAAAAGGCTTTTGCATTTTCTTGTTCACTGACATCAGGCCCCTTTATACCCAGGAGGCTGCAGGGTTTGTGTTCACCTGCATGCACACACTAAGCATTAGTGTCTTATCTGTATCTTTGATTATCAAGTTAGAAAGGTACACACATTGAAATTTCTCTTAGACCTTTTAAAAAGATACTTAAAATTTCAAAAATGGTAATAAATTTTGTAATACTCATTTATATGGTAAAAAATACCTGGTTTTGACCGTTAGGGTGTCTTTCTTTGTGTTTTTATAGGACCTGGATGTGAAGGCTGGCGGAGGCTGTGTAATGACCATTGGGGAAATGCTTCGTTCTTTTCTTACCAAATTAGAGTGGTTTTCTACCTTATTTCCAAGAATTCCTGTTCCAGTTCAGAAAAATATTGATCAACAAATTAAAACAAGACCTAGAAAAATCAAGAAGGATGGGAAGGAAGGAATTGAAGAAATAGACCGGCATACTGAACGTAGACGTTCAAGGTATATGCTTATTTCAAAATTTAACACTTGTTCTTTTAATTTAGTGTGCCGATACAAAGCTAGGTATACCTGTGAAGCATACATAAAGATATATATCTGTTCTCATGGCTAATTTTTACAGTTAGAAACCTATTACCTGTAACTCTTTTTCTAAAAATTATTTTTTAGTATATTTCAAGGAGCAGAGCGATTATGTGGCTATGAATATGAATAAGCAAGTACCTTTATGCAACTTTTTCTGAAACATTTTTAAATGGAGTAGTTTTGAGTGTGCTGAGAGAGCTTAATAATTTAAAAGAACTCTTTAATGAGTGTTTTAAGTATTTCTAATAGTTTATACGATGAACTTTTATATCTTTTTGAACTGTTAGGTCACCAAGAAGGTCATTGAGCCCAAGAAGATCCCCAAGAAGATCCAGAAGTAGAAGCCATCATCGAGAAGGTCACGGTTCTTCGAGTTTCGACAGAGAATTAGAAAGAGAGAAGGAACGGCAGCGACTAGAACGTGAGGCCAAGGAGAGGGAAAAAGAAAGGCGAAGATCCCGAAGCATTGATCGTGGGCTCGAGCGCAGGCGGAGCAGGAGCAGGGAGAGGCACAGGAGTCGGAGTCGGAGTCGTGACAGAAAGGGAGATAGGAGGGACAGAGATCGTGAAAAAGAGAATGAGAGAGGCCGGAGAAGAGACCGTGATTATGACAAAGAAAGAGGCAGTGAAAGAGAAAAAGAGAGGGAGAGGTCTAGAGAGCGGAGAAGTAGGAGTGAGGTAGAAGAGAAGAAGCATAAAGAGGACAAAGATGAAAAGAAGCACAGGGATGACAAAAAAGATTCCAAAAAAGAGAAAAAACATAGTAGAAGTAGAAGCAGGGAAAGAAAACATCGAAGTAGAAGCCGAAGTAGAAATACAGGAAAGCGCAGTCGAAGCCGGAGCAAAGAAAAGGCAAGTAAACATAAAAATGAGAGTAAAGAAAAATCAAATAAACGAAGCAGGAGTGGCAGTCGAGGAAGAACTGGCAGTGTTGAAAAGTCAAGAAAACGGGAACACAGTCCCAGCAAAGAAAAATCCCGAAAACGTAGCAGAAGCAAAGAGCGTTCTCACAAACGAGAGCACAGTGATAGCAAGGACCAGTCTGACAAAAACAGGATCGCCGGAGGAGCCAGAGTACAGAGCGCGAGAGCCAAGAAAAGCAGCATAAAAGCAAAGATGAGACTGTGTGAAGTTTTTTGTTTTTTCTTTTCTTTTCTGGTTTATTTTGTAAAAGTGGATCACATTGAATCCTATAAATGTTTGATTAAATCCTGCTTATTTTTCTTTCTTAAAGTTGAGATTGTGCAGTAGTTACGCACTCTTCAACCTCCCTATATATAGGCTGCAGATTTTCATTTCCCATTTTGTGTAGGGAAGTGCCTTTGTAATCCCATTTATTGCATTGACGTTTCCATCCATTTGTTGAGTTTAATTCATGATGCAACGATTGTTCTTGCATTTTTATTGTTTGGTTGTTTCTGAAATGTACAGTCTGTACATATGTCCCTGAAAATGTTTTAATTCCTTTGGCATTGTTGCCATGTTGGTTAAATTTGTATAAGGCAATAAACTGCCACTAATTCTACTTTGTTTTGTAGATGTGGGATTATGGTTTCTGTACTGAAGTTAGCATGGCTGTGCTTTGCATAATAGGAACTGAAGACTTTCAGGATGAGTCTTGAATGTGTATTATAACAGAAATATTTATGTGCATACAGTGTACATGAAGGCTAGGATTAACTTTTTTGTTTATTGTATCTTACCTTGGAAAGCTCTTTTTAATGTATTACATTTAGAATCCCGACAAAGCTACCTTTAGTGTGGATTTTTGAGAGGTTATCACTTTGTGATGCAAGGGTTTAAATAAGGCTGCAATTTATTCAGTAGTCCCTTTTAGAGTGGTTATCTCAAAGGGACACTGTTAGTAAGCCTGAAATTTATTCACCTACTTTTCTTTCTTTCTTTTTCTTTTTTTTTTAATTTGAAAAATGTCATGTCGTGTAACCATTTTTTTTCTTTAATGCAGTCTCAGTTTTTTTTTAATTTGAAGGAAAAGTCAGTGCCAGCAGCCTAGCATTCTTGCAGCAACCCTACACTAATCTGTATGAGATGAGAGGGAGGGATAACCTGGTAAAGAAACAGATTCAAGCCTCAAGCTTCCAAAGCATTTTTATAAATGGAAAAGTATTTAAATTATGAGATACCTTGATAGTGTCCTTTTTAAGAAGTCATAACATGTTTTTTTTTAATCAATACTGACAATTGCTGTTTGAGTTTGAAAACTTCATCTAGAAGAGAGAAGTATTAAAGTAATGCTATAATGCATTATTAAAGAATCATCAGTCAGCAAATTATTTAATAGGCTGTTCTTATGACATGTATACTGATTGAGGAGAACCATCATGAGTCTGGAATAAACACTGGATTAAATCCTTTATTCTGGGTGTTGACTTTTCCCCCATCTGTTTTCACAAACATTCAAATGAGAATTTTGTTAAGGTGGATCATTGTGAAACTTAAGTGAAATAATCATTTAACTTTCTACAGTTCAGTAACCTTGCACTAAGTAGATGAGATGGCAGAAGAATGAGGAGGAAAGCACACCTGTGACTAAAAGTTTGAAATATTCTTTGCTGATGCTGTGTGTTAGTTTTTTTAGCCTGTTCACAAGTCCAGAATAAAGCAGTTGTTGGGGGTGTGAATCACAATAGGAGGATGCATAATGTTACTCCTTGACCTTGCTCCTTTCTCCTCTTTCTATATTCCTACATTTTTTTTTTACTGTACACATTATTTGCTATCTCCTTCCCCCCTGAAAAAAAAACTTCAAAAAAACACCAATTTTTTGTTGTTGTTTAGAACCTGGTTTTCCCCTGGCTTTAAGAAGCCAGAATGGTAAAGTGGCTGATTTTTAAATTACAAATTAAGAATTTTTTATTTAATTTGATAAGCTATACATATAATTATATGAAAAGTATTTTCTGGGTACAGACACTGGGAAAATAAAAGGAGAGACAAAGCATATGTGATTAGATTAGGCTGTGTAGTCAAAAATTAACTGAATCAGCTAAGTGTTCAATTTTTAGATTGACATCATCCAACTTTGAATACATCCTGTATCATTCCTCATTTGGAAAGTAGTAATAATTTTCAGTCATAGATATATTTAAGAATGAATAACAAAGACAGTTTCTTCAAAGTCATGTCTAGCTTGTATATAGTGTTTTGTACTTGGGTCACATGAAGCAATTTTTCTATGTACTTCCATTTTATTGGCTGTAATGTAAACTAGTGCTGTTTTCACTATGGTATCTATAATGGAAAGAGCACTGAATCTCATCAGAAAACCTGGGTTTTAGGCCACTGGGAGACTGAACAAATCAGTCACTTTGGGCTTCCTTTTTTGAAAAGCAGGTTGAGGATGTTGGACGTGTGTGTGTGTAGTGATAAAGAATCAAGTAATTCGGGCATTTTGGATGTCTACCCAAAAAATGTCATTCCAGCCATCTCTCAGCAAAGGTTAGGAATCAATTAATGAAGGGAGAAAAAAATTATCAATTATTTTAAAGATTCTGTTGATCTAAGTTGGATGTGCTGAATTATGTGTTTTTATTGGAGTCTGGAGTAAAGAAACTTCTGCTATTTTCTTATGTAAAAAGTAAGATGGGAAAGTTGTGTAAGGAGCTCCAAATAATTTGAAATATGTGAATGGTAATACTACCATTCATAAAAGCCTGTAGCATTTTAATTAACAATTTCCCTCAGGGTCAATTTTCAGAAGTTTTTTTTTCTATAGAACTAGAATGTATATATATACCCTTCTGCCAGATTTTTAGAATTCTTTAGATTGGTAATAAAGGAGTGGGAAATCTGAAAGAGCAAGTTGGGAAAGAAAGCTAATGTTTCTTGATGTCATGAAAGAAAAATTATAAGTGAAATTAAAGGTAATTTTAGCAAGCTTGAAAAACTACAGTTCAAATAATTTAAGCTCCAGTTTAATATCTTTAGGAATGTAAATTGCCTGGCTAATTTTGGAGTGTATGTATCAACTGTAAATTGAAATACCCAATAAGAATATTGTAGATATTCAGCAATCACATTTCTTAACTGTAGGTTAAGATCCAAAATCTTCAAGGTGTAAAACAAGTAGAAGCCTATTGTTGGCATGAAGTTGGGGGGAGGGGGAGGATTTAGCATGTCTACATTTTGGTGCTACTTTTGAATATAGTTTTATTTGACTCAACATTGTAAGTCAGTAGATAGAAATGTAAGATTTAAATTTGGGGTGATAAGGACAAGAAAGTTGTTCCCACTAGTTTTTGTGTGCTATTTGCTTTATTGTAATTTTAAAAGTCACAATCAGTGAACATTTTATTAGGCGCCTTTATGTGCCAGGCATTGAACCTTCAATGTTCTATGAAGGAAGTGATCATTTTTGTCCTGTACATTTAAATGATGCTAGTTATTATATGCTGTGTAGTTGCTATGATTCTTATCCTAAGAGTAGTTTCCAGCAAGACTGGGGAAAGATAGAGTTGTGAAAGTACTACTTCATTTCTCAGTCCTTTTCTTGCCTTCTTATTTAGGGGATTTCTTTCATATGACTTAAACAGAGCCCATCTCATATTTTCAAATAACTTGTTGCAACTTGAGTTTTTATCTTTTTGGAAAATGTTAACCATGCAATTAAATTCCTTTCATGTGTTAGTGTATCAAAATATTGTCATGAAGTATGTTGAGTGTTGCCCTTTTTAGCCATATTTAAATTTGTGGTTTAGTCCCTGTAGGGGGCTTTCTGCATTGTTTTTCATTAACATTAAAGGGTTTTTTTTTTTACCGGTGATTAGAAATATTTATAAATATCACAGAATTAGCAGCAGTAAAAGTGAAAATTAAAAGACAAATGAAAGATGAGGTAGAATAAACTGTAAATAACTAGGTGAATTTAATTTGCTTGAGGAACTCAAATTATAAATTTTTTACTTATCCTTGAGGGCACAGTGGTAGACATTTTTATAAATTGGCACAGAACATATGTATGTAGCCACTTTGACATGATTCCATATGACAAAGTATGTTATAGATTAATAATTGCCTGTGCTAGGTTGAATGAGATGTAATCATTTTTATTTTGCCTTGAAAGGCATTTTTGAACTTAGGTTTGAATGTCTTGTCTAGAAATCAGCATCATTTGAAATAACAAAACTCTTTCAATCTAGCTTCCCCACCCTGTTCGCCTCACCAAACTCCTCTATTCCCCAGTTATCTTCCAAACTGGGTTGCATCTCCTTCCAAATGCAGGAATAACCTTTTTGAACTTGCTGATTCACGCCTTGGCCAGTGTTAAGAAAGAAAAAAAATTTTCTTAAAGCTTTTTTTTCCAACAAGTGTTTATTAAGTGCCTATTTTTATATCGGGCACTGTCCTAGTCTTGGTGCTACAATGTAACAGATAACAGTCTCCTGCCCACTTACAGGCTAAAGTTAAGTAAAATCTTGTTTTTCAGAAAGTACCTAAATAGGTCACAAGATCTGTAGAACTTGAAAGCCAGGCTTACACACTGATTTATGCTCAAATTGAACCTTTCCACTGCTGTCCTTAATTCCATGCCCTCCCATCTCTTCTGGTACTTTTTCACTTCTAAATTCTAAAATTGAATCCCTTCTTACTGTTCAACCTTAAAACTATGGCCAAATCTTTCCTATATGAAAATAATTCCCTTGGTCCTGTTCTTTAAGTTATTGGCCCATCTCACTTTTCACTGACTACTTTTTAGAATTAGCCTTCAATTCTAAAGACTTTAATCATAGTCAGCTATTAGCTACTGTTGACTATTTGCTGCATTGTGATAACTTCTCAGCTCCTTTGGCATGATGATCTGTATATCTATCTCTGTAGCTTTGTCTCCTTCGGCTCATTGTTCTACACCTCCCAGTTCTGTCATTCTCAGTTTTTATACATTCATCTTGCTCTCCTCTACTCCCATGGCTTCAGTCATCATTCCTATACTACAATTCATTAATGACTAATGAAGACTTGGTTGGGGTGTTCTAAATTTTTATCTGATGCAAAGGTAGAAGGAGTGGATAGTCAATATAGATTACAGATCTAAAAATCTAAACACTCAGGCTAAATCTTGGGAGGTTTAGTAGAAATGAATGTGAATTTAGCAGAATGAATGTTTCAAAAGTAAGGTACGAGATAATGGAAATTTTGCTAGGCAATTCTTTGGAAAAAACAGTTTTGGTGGATTGCAAGCTTAACATGAGTCTAC